AATCTTTATTTCCTCATAAAAGAATAAAGAACACACACATTCCAAGAACCATAAAAGCTGTAACTAAGGAAAGGCCATCTGGGCAACTAGATTATCTTTACAATACACTCTTCACTATTTTATTTGGTCCTATTTTATGTACCTCAGGAAATTAGGTTCCCATCACTTTCCTTGAAAATTTTCTACCAAACTATTAGATATTATTGCTAAGTAGTAACCAATCATCGCCACCAACCAGTTTAAAATTCTCTGCCTGCCTTTGTCTAACTGATATTTTTAGTACTATTTTTTCATTAGGATTGTTTTATTAAAAGAATACTTTTTTGTGAAGGTTAAACTTCTAATTGGGAAAACAGCAGCTGCCAGTGGCCTAGTGGTTGGTTAAACTCTGAGACGCCAAGGAGAAAAATGACATAATCTATAAGGTTTCACTTCACTCTTTATTAAATGTAAAATGAACAGACCCCTAGGAGAGAACGATCCCCCTTTCCTTCATGGGCACACTTTGCGGTAGGGATCTTTGGGGAATTGAAGCACCCTGGGCTGCCTGACACATATATGTATGGAAACAATGAGGCAGGGTCCAAGGTAGCCTACTTTCTCTAACTTAGATTTGCAAAGAAAAATTTACATCCTTACCAAGCTCCCTCTGAGGCGGACAGTGGACAGTACTCAGAACAAGAATCAGAAGGTTTGGGGGTCTAGTCTCAGCTCTTGTGGGATCCAGCAGTTTGACTGCAGGCAGGCTCTCTGATGTTCTCAGCTTTAGCATCTTCATTCACACAAGGAACTGTAGACAAGTCTCCACTTCACCCTCGAAATGTTACAATGCAATGATACTCATCAAAGAAAACAGAGCTAAACAGATAGTCTTTCTACTAAAGATATGCTGATTACTGTTATTATATAATACTGGTTGCTCAAAATGGAAATGTTATAAATTTATCTTGCAGAGAAGCACTTGAAGTTTTAGAATGGGGAAGGGGATTTTTTTTTTTTTTTGAGAGCTTGAAAATAATGGGGCAAACCATTTTAATACATGGAAAAGAGCAGTGAGAGAAGTTTGAATGTGTTTTAATATTATTTCAAATTGTAGGCTCTATGGGCACATTCCATAGTAAGAAAAAAAAAAAACTAAAGAGGATGGATGAATACAAAGTCATACAGAACAGGGTAACCAACACCCCTAAGTAAACCCCAAACTCTTTTTTTTTTGGCAAGTTTAATCTTTTCTGCCAAATATTGCTGCAAATTAACAAGGTTTCTTCCTTTATTTCCCTTGAAATTTTAAAATGCAGTTGAGAGAAGAAAGATTTAAAAGGGCTCTGGATAATTCATCCTCTGAAGTTGGTATTCTATGAATAAGAAGTTGGTTTGATCTGTGTTTTTCTTTTAGGACTAGGGTTTGGGGTTCCAGTAAATTATTTTACCCCTGGTGATATAAATCAGTGTTTCCAAATTGCTCCATTAGGATACTCTATCAGTTTAAAATGTTCTGTGTATATCCTCAATATTTATCCATCTATCAATTTATTTGTCAGGTGGCTTATTATATTTACCATTATACATCATTAGGTGAAAGTCAAAGTGTTAAGTCACTCAGTCATGTCCGACTCTTTGTTTACCCCATGGTCAAAGAGGGTAAGCCTCTTTGAGCCTGCCAGGCTCTTCTGACCATGGAATTCTCTAGGCAAGAATACTGGAGTGGGTAGCCATTCCCTTCTCCAGGGGATCTTTCTGACCCAGGGATTGAACCTAGGTCTCCCACTTTGCAGGCAGATTCTTTACCAGGGAAGCCCCATACATTATAAAACATACCCACAAATAAAACTGTTAAAAATGATTTAATGATGAGCGACATCATATTTGTTACTTTCTTGCAAGTCACAGTACTTCATAATATCATTAGCCTATATGTCAAAGTACAATATATACTTAAGGCAAGGCTTGTTAATAAAAGTAGATATAAATCCCTATTTCATATGTCTTCTTAACTATTTCAATGAGAGAGAAAAGCTGGCTTCTTGGAAGACTGAATTAAACAGATCATTCCCATTGTTGACCTCCCATTATGGCTAAGAATTCTCACTTACAGTAGCAAAAGCTTCCATTCCACCACCTTTCTATTGTTTGCTTATGCCGGTATTATTAGTATTATCTAATTGTCTAAGCCACTTATAAATCCTTTTAAGCCAATTTTTCATTTTATGATTGCAATTGTTGCTGGGAAACAGAATCCTGAATTTAACACATAAAATCAGTAAGACACAACACATGAAAATGAAATAAGTGTAGGGACCACATGTTGGCCCCTCCATGCTGTAGATCTCCCAGGATTTCAAGACACCTCTGCCAGGGAAGATATGCCATCACATGACCTATGGGCAAAGGAGGGTGTCAGCATCAATCTGTATACTACATATTTTGCAAAAGCTTATGTTTTTGCTTTTTTAAAAAAACAAACAAACATAAATGGAGATTCTAGTATTTACTTCCCACAGCCTACTTTGGAGACCAGTGGTATAAACAGTTGTGGTACGTAACCAAAGTTGTTATCTGATATTTGTCTGAATATCAGTGGGCCATGATTATGTTTTAGGTAAAACAATAGCATATGACTCCTTCAGCTTGACCAGGAGGGAAATTTCATGGAGTTTAGATCTGAGATCTCTCTTTGAAATACCATTTTTCACCATACTAATTGATCATTGTTTCTTCTCTGAGCTTCAATCATTCATGACCTCAGAGACAGACAACAAAAAAGTTGTAAAAGACACTTGTTTATCTTGAATACTTATTCTCTTCTCAGGCCCAGATAAGATTAATCTTCAAGCCTCAGCTTACTCTGGTGAGTGCTGCAAAGCTTGTTCATTGCTTAAAGGTCACAACATCACACCATTCCCTGAATTAGTTGTGTGAGTGTAGATTGTATCTAAACTCCTTCTTTTAAATTTTTTTGTAATCTATCTTACTCTTCTCAGGCTGCCATAACAAAATACCATAGATAGGATGGCTTAAACAACAGAAATCTGTTTCTCACAGTTCTAGAAGTTACCACGTCCAAGATCAAGATGCCAGTGGATTTCAGATTCTGATACAAGCTCTCTTCCTGGCTTGCAGGCAGCTGCATTCTCACTGTGTGCTCATGGCTTTTCCTCTAGCCTGGAGTGAGCACTCTCCTTCAGGGCCTTATTCTATCAGATCAGGGCCCTATGCTATGACCTCACTGAACTTCAATCACTTTCAAAAGACTATCTCCAAATGCAATCACGTTGATGGTTAGAGCTTCAATATATGAATTGTGTGGAGACACATTCATTCCATAGCATAATTTAAATGCTCTCTTTCAGTAGATATTTATAGAGTGCCTTCCATGTGCCTGGCACTATAACCAAATTGCTGTTCTCATTCTAGAAGAGAAACAGCAATGAGTGTGCATGTGTGAGCTCCTGCACATGTACATTAAAAGGAAAACTTAAGTAGATGTGAGACAGAGAGTGAGAGGGTTGAGAGAAGGAAAAATTTTCAAATAGGCGGTCCGGGACTACCTCTCCAGCAAAGAGGACAAAGGAGTAAATACCTGATGTAATTGAGGATCAAGCCTCTAAATACAAGCTTAGGAGAAGTAAATCCAGGCTCAAAGGCCAAGAGGCAGAAGCATGAGGGTTGAAAGAAGAGTAGAAAGGTCAGCGAGGCTGTGCCGGGGGAGTGGGAGGGGACAGTGATGGACAAGGAGGGAAGAGAGGTCAGGCGCTGGCAGGCAAGGCCTTGGGGCTGGGGTCAAGCCTGGGTTGTCTGGAAACCACTGAGTGGTTTTTAAGCAGAGGACTAATATGAACTAACTCATGTACTTTCAAAGGGTCACCCTAAATTCTATAAGGATAAAGACCATGGATGATGCTGGTTTGGAATACCGGCAGTGGGGGAGTTTAGATTTGGAACACTTTCTGAAGATGGAGCCGTTGGGACTTCCTGATAGCCTGGGTATGAGATAGGAAAGAAAGGATGCTGCCTCCCCCAGTCTTTGCACTGAAGAAATTCTAGGATTCAAAACCAAGAGCAGTCTAAAAGACCACTTGAAGGGTGTCCTTTCCTAGTGTCCCACACTTCCACATGCAGCTTTGCACAGGTGAAATGAACTATGTTTGCCCTTGTCTATGTAGCAGCTATCTCTCCCCCATTAAGGTGTAAGCCCCTTGTAAGGCCTGTACCCTCTATCTAGTTCACCTTTATATCACCTGCACCAAGCTCAAGGCCAGGCACTGTTTGAACCTTCACTGAATACTTTAAAGAAAGAACAAATGTCCAAAAGCTCTGAGCAATCCTGAAATGACATATTAGAAACTGTAGAAGGAAGTCAGGGTGCTGAAAAGAAAATATCTTCATTAGATGGCAAACAGAACTCTAAAGATGCTATCATGTTTTCCCGCTTATCCTTGTTATTTAAACTCTAAGACAAAGGCAATTTTACCACTTTAAAGAGATATTGCGTCTCCTGTGCTATCAGCAGGCTAATAGAGTCTTCTATAGATAGTTTTACTCTGATCTGACATGATATCATAACATTATACATTTAATCTATTTAATAATTCTTAGAAAAGTATCATTTCTGCTAAAAATAATAGAAACCTCTAGCCCTCCATTACTCAAACTGCAGCAAAACGGTAAAACTGAAGTGTGAGGTCTACAGATAATTTCGGAATCTTATTTTCAATGATTGCAGACTGCCTCTCCCATAAACTTTTATACCAGCTGTTAAAAGCTCTTCAAATTGATTTTGTTGCACTCCATTTTCACTCCTCCCTCACATCGCAGGGAAAACGAAAAAGAAGAGTAAAGGGACCCGAAGTTCTAGTGATGTGGAGATGCGACATAGTGACCGCCCTAGGTATTCCTGGTCACTGCAAAGTCTGAATTATTTAGAGGTGACCATACTTAAAGCTTGGGGCAGAACTAACACATCATGTATCGGATTCTAGCATTAACTTTTTATTTAAAAATTAAGATCCTTTAACCCTTTCACTGAAATGACTCTGGGCTGGAGTTTTGAAAGGCGAACTCGCCAAAGATAATGGAGAATTTTTCTGCAAACTACAAGGGCGCCGAGACCCAGCGCTGTGTGGTTTATGTTGTCGGCACAACCCGCAGACTTTCCATTTCTCGGCTGCAGAATGTCCCTGCAAGAAAAAGCTGACCCTTGACACGGCCAAAACATTTCCGGGACTTGGCCTCCAGGTGCAGAAGGAGTCGCCCCCCTGCCGGTGGCCCCACCCAGTCCCGGAGGTGGGCGGTAGGGACGCCGACTCCGGGGCGTGGCCCCTCGGGGAGAAGGGCGGGGTCACGAGCACCGGGGCAACCGGGTCCGGAGCGGGTGGAGGGGTCGCTGAGACAAGTGGGGCGACGGCTCGAGATGCAGGGAAGCGGCCCAGGGCCCCGCCCGCCCGCAGGACTCCCGAGCTGGCCGCGAGGGTGGGGAGAGACCAAGAGCCCTCACCGAGGGAGGCCGCGGCAGCCAGGGCGAGGCGGCTGCGTGGGGGCAATAACGGGAGAGGGAGCCCGCGGTAGGAAGGGGGCGGGGGGATGGGGAGGGCGGGGTCGGCTGCCCTCCCCCGAAGGCTTTACAAAGCGTGCGCACCAGCCCCGGGCTGTGGTCGGCAAGAGCGTGAGCCGCCACTGCCAAGGTGCCTCCAGCGTCCCCAGGTAGCGTAAGCGCGGGGCGGGCCCGCGCCGGAGGTCGGGGAGTGGGTGGGCGGGCTTATGGGGGGCTCTCGGAGCGCCCCGAGAATCCGCAGACTCGGGGACGTTAGGGATCGGAGCATCCACCTTGAAAGGGAAATGACCGGGTTGCCTTACACTGACCTCCGGACAGCTGCCCCAGGTGCACCGAGAGAACGCACAAGGCCGCATTTGTTTGCTTGCAAAATATCTGGGTGTTTTCTGCACCCGCCTACCTGTCCCGCAACACACACACACCGGCGGGGGTGGGGGCCTGAGGGATTAGAGGGATAGAGTCACGTCAATCAGAAGAGATTAGAGACTGGGCTGGACGTGTCCACTCTGAGGACCTCTGAAAGTAGGCACAACATCTACGCTCCTGGTGTCCCGCCCTCAGGTGACTCGAGATTGATTTTTCTTGGTCGTTAGTTCTGAAAGCCCCGGGCTGTAAAACGTTTGGGTCCAGAATGAAACTCTGATCCACAGAAGCTTTCCTTGCCCTGCACTCTAACCCCTGCTGGTGTCTGGAAGCGGGTAGACTGGAGGATTCCAAAGAGTTTGAGGTTGGTGTTGGAGTAAGCTGAGTTTTTAAGACGTGTGAGTTTTCCAGAAAGAAAATACAGACTGTCTTAGTTTGAATTAGGTTTTGTTTTTTACTGTATATGTGTGCGTTTTAACAGTAATTGGTGTTGTCATTAGATAGTGAGTCCAGTGGGTATGGATGGTGGTGTTAGATTTGAGAACTAAATTCACTGTATAGTTTTAAAAATTGACTTCTTCCTTATGTGCCTTTTTTTTCCTTTATTTTTATTAGTTGGAGGCTAATTACTTCACAACATTGCAGTGGGTTTTGTCATACATTGACATGAATCAGCCATGGAGTTACATGTATTCCCCATCCCGATCCCCCCTCCCACCTCCCTCTCCACCCGATTCCTCTGGGTCTTCCCAGTGCACCAGGCCCTTATGTGCCTTTTTATGTGCCGTGTTACTGGGCTGCATCTTTGTTGGGAAGCCTGTCATATCACCTGGGTGTCTTGTGAGGTTTCCTCTAGTTCTAGCCACTTGACCCACGACTCAGTCCAATAATATATTCCCTTTTAAATTTTAGGGTGCAAGCCCACTTTTCAGGCCTCTGGCTTTGGTCTCCAGTGAGAGGAAAAATGATCAGAAACGTGCTCTTAGCAAGTTTGGGAACACAGAGGAAAGGCGTAGATTTTTTTTCCCCCATTAAACTTTTCGTGTATTGGCAATTTAGAACCCAAAGCGTTGTTTACCACCTGTCAGATGCACTGTGAAGTGTAAGGATTAACTAATAAAAGATTTGTAAAATGCTTCCTGAATATAAAATTCCATAAATATGCTAAATAGTAATAATCCACCCATTGTTAAATTTATGTAGCTGCTTCTGCCATGCATACAAGATGATTTAGAATGCATGTTTCCTGTCAATTAAACAATGAGTTTGGAGTAAAATAATGAGTTCAATTCGCATCCTGTGAAACTTTGAAATAAAATTTCTCCCATAAGGCACCACTGGCAGGGAATCATAAAGAAAGTAGCATTTCAAAAAGCTATATATGGAATGGCATTTACCTTATGGCTGGGGGGAAAGGGACCCAGTGAACTTCAGAAACAGAAATATTCAGCCCTGGTTGAAGCATGCCTGAACCATAAATATTCCCTTATGTTTTGGGTAAGTCAACAAGAAGGGCAAGCAGGTTTCGTGGGATGGCCTTATAAGCTGTCTGCTAAAATCCATGAAATAACGCCTCTTGGTATTTTAAGGGTGAAGTTCAATCTGAGATTTTGTTCACAAAGAAAATCTTCCTCGGTGCCTGGATAAATTATTCATTCTCCCAATATCGTGGGCTTGGTTTTTAAGCATCCTTAACACCAGAAATCATCTTAATACTCTGCAGATAATTAAATTAGTTTCTTCCAGATGGATTGAGTGACTTGTTAACATAACAGGGTTCTCCTTGCATGTGGTTAATAGTATCACTCTTCTGTCTACCAGTCTCCCAGAGTAAAACCTGTTTCCCGTATGCTACTTTTAAGTATAAATATTACTATGGGTGGTCTTTTCTGTCTTCTGAAGACAACTCTAGATTCCCCACTAGCAGATTAAGGGGTGAGCAAAACCACACAGCTCAGGGCCTTTTCATCTCATTTCCTGTACTCAGCCTCTCACATGGATAGCTGCTACACAGACACCAGTCCAGTATTCCAGAACTTCTCCGCTGCTTCTCTCTTCCTTTATCCAAGTAACCTGACCTCTGCCCTACTTATTTTCCAATACTTGCTATGGATGCAAGTGCACTAGGTGAAAAATCAGGAGATTCGGCATTTATCAGGCAGTTTCGATATACCAGGCACTGCGGAACATGACCTCATTAAATCCCATGACAATCTGAGGCAGTGGATGTCATGTGTGTTTCACACAAGAGGAGACTCAACCTCTAGACCAAGGCATTTTGGCATCTCCTGATGCTCTGTGATCCCTAAGAGAGGTTCACCTGCTGGACTGAAGCATGCAAGAGTTCTCCCATTAACTAACTCATCACTTGTTAAGTTCCCCAAACTCTCTGGGCCTCTAATTCCCTTTCTCTAGTCTTAGGTTAAATTATCTCTCAGGGATGGAAGGGACTGTCCAGGATTTTGGCTGCCAAATACCTAAGCTGCACCTCCTGGGGAATTCCTGACTGTGTTCTCCCCTGCCCTGCCCTTTTTCTCCAACCCTTTCCCTTGTTTATCTTTTTTCTTCCTTTAGGTCTAAGAAAATAGCATCTTCCCCACAAAACTTTTCCCAGTCACTGCTCCCAGTCACTCTGTTATTCTCTATCTCATCTTTAGTGATTCTTCAGACCACTGATTAGAAGCTGCTGTTGTTTTATTTATGTGTCAGTTTACATGTGGTTGTTGTTTTTATCTTCCTGCAGTCACCCCCCACCTCAAGATCATAAGCAGCATGAGGCCAGAGCTGTTTTTGTCTGACTGTTATTTTATTTTCGGGGCCTAGCACCATGACACATAGCTGGTGATCAATAAGTATTAACATATATATGTTGAATGAGTAATTGTCTCTTAGAATGAACATGTGCTAACGGCCAATATATTGTCCCCTCCATGGATAACCTAAATGAAGTACCGTCAATATTACGCTGCTAGCCTAAGTCTGAATTATGAATGGGGATCCAAGTATAGTGATGGAGACAATAGGGCTACCCTTGAACAAAAGGACGGATGGACACATGCACATGGCCCAGCCCGCATATTTTACAGCAAAGAAAACAACTTCAGGATGATAACTGAAACTTGAGATTAGAAGATAATTTAGAGACCATCCTACTGTCTAAACCATTGTTTTATTGACAAGGAGACAGGAAGTTCAGAAAAATACAGAACCAAAAGTATAGAACCTATGCCTTCTGACCTTCAGACCAGCACTCCTTTCACCAAGAATCAAAAATATCAGGGACCACCCCAACAACTGAGAGGAAGTTGTGGACTATGATGCTTTCTTATTCCAAACATCCTTTCCCAGACTAGTCCTGGGCAGCAGCATTAATTCACAGCAGAGCACCCTAGTTGAGATAATTTTTTAAAATTTACTATTTTAATGACCCATCAGGCAGCCTTTAATACCTAAAGTTAGTTTACCAATTCTGTTGAAATACTTGGAAACTCTGAATGGGCAATCTCCAGTGCTGGACATTTAACTCTAGTATGATAGAGTCCAGATACATTTAAAAGATGATTGATACTTTGAATTCCAAATAATGATAGCTTGTTTTTAAGGACAAAAATAACTTTCCTTCTCTAACTTAGAGCTCAGTTTTTGCTTGAGTATTACATGCCATAAAAAAACAGTCTTTAAACTTTAGAGGTTACAAAAGTCATCTGAAAGACTTCTTAAAAACCCAGATAGCTTGGAGCCATTCTGAACAATTCTACATTAGTAGGTCTGAAATTGGACCCAGAAAACTGCATTTTTAACAGACACGTTTCATGAGTCTTCAATCCGATGGATTGGAAGATCTCACTTTAAGGTCCAATAATAATGGTGGTCTATTTTTAACTTTCCCAGATTTCCTCAAAGAGGATTTTTTTTAAACAAACAAACAAAAAAATCAATGTGTTTGAATCCAGCGAGTAGAAGAGATAATCAAAATCCATTTATTAAGTACTATGGACATCTCTTTCCTTAGAGTAAAAGGCATATACATATAATCATGATTTAGCTACTAGGCTTGATATTGGCCCCAAGTCAAGAACACTCCAAAATGGTTTTGTTGGGTCGGAAAAATGCATCAGTAATTAGCAATAAAAGTTGAGTGTTAAATTCAGTGGAGAAATAGTGAAGCCCCTTGCCCTCTAGATGATTATATTCTGTGTAGTTGAAAAATAACATTAATATCCATGGAACATTCAAAGATAACACCAAGTACAGGAGGCTGTTACACTTGAAGTTAAAATATACAACAAATCATGTTTTAGTAAAGGCATGTCCCATATAATATTTTTATTTGCTAAGTCTGGCCACCTTGCTCAAGAAACATTAGCATTTAATGTCATTATTTTCCAGAAGAGTATGTGTGAGTGTGTGTGTCTGAACAGAAGGACAGTTGCTGAGTGATAGTTAAACTTTAAGAAATTGATAAAAGCTCTGGACACGCCTCTGAGAAAAATTCCTGATGGTACTTTCCAACAGAACTCATACAATTCCGTGGAGTCTCCAGGCCACCAGAGCTCTTGGACACACCAGGGTGAGCTGCAGCAGTAGATGGCAGAGGCCAGCTCTTCAAGCT